GGGGGGGGGGGGGGGGTATTCTCTTCCTGTGTCTCTTCATGAACTGGATGTTTTATTTGCGTAGGTGTGCTTGTCTCTCTAGCATGATTGTTGAACTCTGTCTGTAAATGTCTGTTTGTACCATTTTAATGTATTAACATATGTGTGTGTTTACCTTATGAACTGTGTGTCTCTGTGCTGCAGTGCCAGGGGGCTTGTCTGTGGTTCTATGAGGGGGGGGCGCACACTCAGATGTGTCTTTGTTTACTCGCAGCTGAGGCTCTTACACACACACACACACATACACACTCACATAGACTACATACAGAGACACACACAGTGGTCCGTGTGCACTGACTGAGGAAAACATTGTTCCATTAGTCGAGAGTTTGATGTGATATGCGTGTTTCACTGGGGGGTTGGGGGGGTTGAGGACATTCCCACAGTTGGTTTTGCCAAATAGAGCTGCAAATAGGAGCTGCCCTGGTGGGAGGTCATCTTGTTTCCTACAATATCCAGTATGCTCTCTGATTTATCTGAGGCTCAGAGGTTTATACGTGTGGACACATTATTTACCTTACTGTCAGAGCTTTCCCTGGCACTGTGATCAGTCTCAGATCTTTGGCAGAATCAACAGCAGAGTAATCGCCAGCTGATTTCCAGGAAACCTCCTCCGTGGGAACTATTTTGTAAAGTTCATCTTTTAAATTTTTTCCCTCATTCTCTCAGGCCTTCTGTGTCTTTGTTTCTCCCACTTTGGTCTGTGTGGAAATGAAACCATAGTTTCAGACTATCAGTTCTACTTGCAGACAGTCAGGAAGTGGTACAGTCTCTGGACTTCAGTGACTTCTTTGTTGGTTAGGGCTGCAGGTAACAATTACTTTCATTATCAAACTTTCATTATCTGTTGTTTTAATTGGCTGTGTAATTATTTAGTCTATAAAATGTCAGGAAAAAGTGAAACATTTCCATCCCAAATGACACCTGTCACTCAAAGCGGCCGCACCCTTAATTATGCATAACTTTAATACTTAATTTAAACAGTTGAATTATATTAAAAGTCCCCCACCAGTACAGTTGTCATGAACAGGAAAATGAGCTATATATATATATAAATAGACCCAAACCGTTTTTTTGTCCCAGGCTGTAAACATCTTTCAGTTCTTTTTAATATGGGGCCTTATGGAGATTGACTCACTTCTTTAGCCAGCCTCATTTGAGGAACTGCAGCTTTTGTTACTCCCATGTTGTTTTCGTGTTTTCGTTTGTCAGTATAGAGTCTCCATATGAAGTTGATATTCAAAACGCATTAGCAAACCGTTTCCTATTTACACATCTTTACACTCCTTTTAGCTCTGTTTTGGTCGCCAACAACTCCTGATTGACTCCCTGTTCCACTGTTCTTCCCTAGCTAGCCTTTTCCGTTGTTTGTTGTGTTGTTGTAGTGGGTTGATCAGAGCTTTTTTGCTGCTGCTGGATAGAGGTTGATGAAAACTGTAATAATGAATAAAACCAAAACTCTGAGCTGATAGTTAAGGTGGTGATATTCTCTGTAGGCCCACATCACATCACTATGGGTGACCCCGTTCACATTACCTGTAGTCATTTGAGCAACTGTTTATATAAGTAAAAATAAAAAACTTGAATTATGAATTAATTTGAATCCATTTCAGCTTTCTGGCACACTAGTTCTTCAGCTGTCTTCTACAGAGAACATACAACAGTAATGTCACCCAGACACATCTTCCTGTCTTGTCTGTTATTTTGGGAACCAAAAATGGCAGTCAGTGTGTTAGGATTTATAGCTGAAGTTTATGCAATGACAGTGACACCGTTACAGATGTAGCAAACATGATCCAATTGGCAATTTTATTTTGTAGAGATAAAAAGTTTTACTTTCAGTTGTCTGTAAGTGTGCTATCCTAGCTCCCAACTCTCTGCCGTATTTGTCAACTTTCTTTTCATTTCTTTCCTCCCCTCAGCCTGCGACGGTGGGGGTGATGGCTTCCTTCCGGTGTGAGATAAAAGTGCATGTGTGGGCTGATGGACGAACGGAGCATCTCCCCGGTTCGCAAGAGCTGTGAACCTCTGCCAGGAGAGGAAGGGCTGGCCTCATAGTTTTAACCTGGCCGGAGAGATAGCGAGACAGAAAGGAGGAGGGGGAGGGGCAAAGATAAATCATCCATAGATAAAGAAAAAGAGTCAGGAGAGAGAGAGAAACAAAGAAAGAGAAGGCAAAGACTACAATACAGCTGTGGACTTCGAGTCTTACCAAAGCACCAAAGCCCTAAAACTTTGTGTTACGATGGGTGGGAACGAAGGGCAGCTGTGCTGGCTCTGAGGCTCTCTAAGATGGAAAATTAATTATGTATGTATGAGGACATGGGACCAAATTATAGGAAAAAAAAGAGTGAAAATATGAGAGAGGGAGGAAACAGCAGAGACAGGTAATGAGAGGATGGCGGTTCAGTCCAAAAATAAGCTGAGGATTGGAATGAAATAAGAAAGGATGGAGGCAATTATCTGAGATGAAGGGGCGAGGGGGAAAGGGGGTACGAAAAGTGAGGAGGCAGGAAAGTGAAAGGAGAGTGCGCAGAAAGCAAGAAGAGAGTCACAATGAAAGCATTCCAGCAGAGCAGCACCTCTGTAAGACTGGCTGTGGCCAAAGCAGGAATTTCCTCTGGTTGCACCACAGCTGAAGTGTGTTGTTAAACCCACAGAGCTCCGGCCCCTGCAGACGCTGTCCCAGACGTAAACACACACCCTGACGTGAGAGTTACCCAGTCCTGTGGACAGGAACACAACATGGCCTCCAGCACACCGACTGGAAATCTGCCCAGCGGCCTCACGGACAGGAGCGGTAGCTTCTTTAAGGTAAGGCCTGATGGATGGATGGATGGATGGATGGGTGGATGGATGACTTGGCTGACTTTCCAAGGATCACTCAGAGATGTAAAACACATCACTTCCTGTGTACCAAATGTTTTTTTCCTGTAAAAGGCTGACTCAACACATGTTTAGAACGGGAGAAACTCACAAACAGTCGGATGAATCACGCATTACACTGCCCCACAAAACCAAAACCTGGTTGAAACTTTGCTAAGACCAGAATCTGACTTTCTGACATATTTTAACATAAAAAACTAAGCTATACCACATCTAGCTTTGGCTAAAGTTAAATTGACTTACTTCCCCTTAGCTGTTTCCTGTAGTTAAGCCAAAATAATATATTTTTCTCTCTAAAGGAAGTGCCAAGTGCTTGCTTATGGTGGGTTATCCATCCCCCTTCCTCCGGCCCGCAACAAGACGTCAAAAATATAATATAATCCGGCCCACAAGATTGTTTATATTATATATATATATACATATATAAATTATTCATACACATAAACTTCCCCTTCATAAACAAATAAAATAAAATACAATTATATTTAAAGAAGCATATTTTGACAGATGCAATTGTAATATGATTTACAATTAGTGGGAATGATCATTTTTATAATCAATTAAAATCTTCTTTGAAAAAAAATTAAAATCATGATGATGTTATATTTGTTGGGGTCTGTAACAAACAGTTCTTACATCTGGGGAACAAGATTTGTGGGCCAGGGCACCTCTGCAGCACTGCAGTATTGAATTATAATGCTGTTTGTCACATTTTAACTTTATCATAAAACTGCAGCTTCAAATGATTTGAATTTTACACTTGGCCATATTGCGATTTTGATGATTAATTGTGCAGCACTGTCGACACACTAAATTGACTCATACAGGTGTGCAGGATTTAGTGGCATCTAGTAATGTAGTAGCAGATTGCAACTGTGTCGCTTCACCCTACTACAGTGCCCGTCATGAAGATGAACAGTCCTATCTAAAGCCAGTGTTTAGTTTGTCCGTTCCGGGCTACTGTAGAAAACAAGGTGGTTCAACATGGCGGCCTTCGTAGAAGAGGACCCGCTCCCTCAGTAGATAAAATCGTCTCATTCTAAAGTAACAAAAACACAACTATTCCTATATTTGGTGATTATACATTAATGAAAACATACCTATGAATATTATATTCCATTTCTGATAATAGACCCTCCTGAATGTTACACACTGGACCTTTAATAAATGATAGACAGACACATAACACCGTTATTTTTGTCAATGTTTCAGTAGTTAATCTCTGCTACGACTCCAGTAGTAAAGTCTCTATCAGCGGTTGTTTAGTTAAACAAACATTCATATAAAAACCTTTGTGGTTGTACTGTAAAGTAACTAACTTTCAATTACAAAAATGATCTCTGAGCTCTGTGTCTCTAAGGAACTTTTTCTTTTTTTCTTTCTTTTTATGCATTCATAAGAGAATTTATGGGTTGATGCACTCTGGGACTATTTTACCCTTCAAGTTTTTATCTTTGCTTCAAATTCCCACATTATTAGTTCTGACTGAGCACTTTTCTTTATATTGTCAGGAAATGTAATAGAGTATTGATTGATGAAACATAAAAGTGAAGCTGTCTTTCAACAGTTTTCCTTTTCTTTCTGCCATATATCGAAGGAGTGCTGGAAGTGAAGAATGGCAGCTGCACTTGTTGGCAGCCTGACAAACACACTCACAGTAATAAAACTCTCTCTCTCTCTCTCT